CGACAGCTGACGAGGTCGCCCTGCACAGCGTGGTGACCTCGTACGCTGGAGATGCAAGCAACACCGTGCAACACCCCAATTGCACGACATTGCACTTCAGCTACACCTAGTCTGGTCACCTTGATCAACCAAATCCCAAATCAATCCGAAACTGAAGCGACACAATCAGATAAAGCCGCTGCTGTTGCATGAGTACCGGACTGTTTGGCCTGAGCGAATGAGGACCTGACACACTCAGTCCCAGTCCTCATCTCATCGTTCGAACTCGGTTGTATCGAAGTAGTACATGCCGCACACCACGCGGTCTCATCGACTTCCAGCGGTCCGGTCTGTGGACACTGTTTGTGTTATAACATCGTCGCGAGATGCGGCGTGACGAGGGAGCTGGGCTCCTTGTTAAGACGTACGGTGTGGTCCAAGACCACGACAAACTCCAGCTCTTTGTGTGCGAGCAACCTGACAACGACGTCATGTGATAAACTAGAGCGACCGTCAATGAATTGCCCATCAAAACACGAGAGCGAGGCTCTTCAGCCAGTTTCATTCGAGAGACAAAGACACGCCGTCGTCCTGTTGCGTCTACAGATGGCGGAGCTGTCTATCGTCAAGCAAGACACGAGAAAGTCTGCATCGTGACGATCACGTGTCTCGGCAACCGTTCCCGTCCACGGCTTTCTTCATGGCTAGGAGCAGTTGTGATGACAATGGCTCTTTCCGAATAGCTTAGCATTGATAGCGGTTTGATGGACTTCAGACATCTCCTGAGATGTCTTCGTGGCGGCGTCACAGAGCTGGGCTTGTAACGTGCGTAAGGCTGCGAGGAGCTACTCTTATTATCTGCTTGAGGCACAAAGCTGAAGCTCAAGCTTCCTAACGTCCACTTCCAACAGCCTTGAAACGAGAAACTTGATGAGGGGCATGTGTTCGAACAACGAGTGTAAACAATCAGCGAGTTGCTCCATTTCGGTGCGAGCTTCGGGTCACACTCGCTCGCCATCGAGTCCGACTACGTCTATCGATCGAGCACCTGACGCTCCAGTTGTCCGTCCGGTGGCTCTGTCGATCTCTGGACTCCACGACGAGGAACAGCGTCTTTGCTCCGAGTAGAAAGGGGACGACCCACCGGTCCGAACTGGCTGCTGTCGCGAGGTTAACATCGATCCAGTGCCTCCCTCCTCCTAGGGTGCCGTCGTGGTGGTATTCCAGTTCAGATCGAGGCACTTGAGACAGTCGAGAGCAGAGGAGGGAGTTGCGCCGAACGTGCTTCCATGACCACTGAAGGCAGCGAGGGAAGCACGTCCCGACGCTCCGATGCTCAAATGTGTCGAGACAATGGAGACATGACGTTGTTCACTTGCCAGAGCATCCGCTAGGGTTCTACCCTCATCTTCCCGCTCTTGCCCTTTGGAATCCACGACAGCCGCTTCACGGTTTCCACAGCACACACACACACGGCCGACCGACCACGACGATCTCTCCCCCTCTTTGTCGTCGTCTCCTTGTCGATAGGCACCAACCACTACGTAGCTTCGGTCCTGATCAAAGGACGACGACTTGCACGTCTTTCGAACAAGATAAAGCAGCAGCAGCTCTCTCTCTCTCTCTCTTAAGTGACTCTACTACCGTTGACCCACTTGACGACGGCGTTCGACTCGGAGCACACGCCTAGTTTCGTGACGATCTACCAGTCACTAAAGGTGCACTGCCTACAGATAGATAGACAGACAGGTGGTCCCACGGATGCACTAGGACAGCGGGCTGTTAGCCCTGAACATGGCGGCGATCAGGACGATCAATCACTAGCTCCATGAAACTTCGTACTGGATGCCACGGATCTTCCAATTAACACGGACGGAAGGTGCCGATCGTGCGCTGCACTTGTCGGACGGTAGGATATCTCGGTGTCCACCCTTTGGTGAGCTGTGAACCTTTGAGCGATCCAGCCACCACCCCAGGAACTAACAGACAGGATGTACCGGTTGACCGGGAAGAGCGGGGAGCAAGTTCGGCTCTGCCCTGTCTTGACGACCGCTCGATGGCCCATGTGTCACACCGCGACTAATCTCGAGCTCCTCGCTTCGCGAATCCCTTACGATGCACATGTCACGCAGTTGGGGCACGACGTGAGAGTCAGTCGTCGAACTTTCGGAGCAGCAGGTGGACGCGTCGCGCCGTCCATCCGGCAGTCCTTCAACTCCCGGCCAACATCCGTCCATCCGTCCCACTAGAGATCTCGCGAGACAGGAGCGATCGATCCGTCAACCTCGCGGTCTTTTCGTCCGTCGACTCGACGCGCAAGACAAGGGGCGAGCGACGGCTGACCGTCCATTCGCCCCCCGTCCGTCCTTCAGCTCCTTGAGATGCCCCGCTACTTGGGAGCTACCGACATTGGCGAAGTGCCGTCGGAAATGCTGAAGCTCACCATGTCCGCAGCAGGTTCCGGATCCCTTCGAACAGGTTCGAGCGGCACGACCTTAAAGGGCACGAACCCATCGACCGAGAATGCCGCCGCCGCCGCCGCCCAAGACATTGCTGACAATAGCAACAGCACTTCCAGTTGTACCGACTCGGTGGACGACGAGGCCCTCGAGTTGTGGCTCAGCATCAGCATCCCCTTCGTGCTCCTCTTGACCGTGTTCGTGCTCCTGGTTTTCTGCTGCAAGCGACCACCGAAGACCGACCGGGACGTCAATGCACCTGCGGGGTCGCCCTCTTTACCCATGTACCAAATCGGGCGACGACGGGGACCCCTACGTCCAGGATGGCGACGTTGACCATGGAAGACGAAGAAGCGCTGGCGCCGTGGCGCATTAATGCCGAGAGTATTACCCCGATCCGGCCATTAGGAGCTGGAGCTTATGGCACGGTATGGCTCGCAACGTACTTGGGGGAGACGGTCGTGGTCAAGAAACTCTCACCTCCTTTGCCCACGTCCCTCCCCGGACGAAATCGTGGCGAAAACAGAGTCGCCACAGTCGCCAGAGCAGCAATAACGCGTCGGGTGCAACCTCCGGGACGAATTCAAGAACCCGGACCAAGTCACGGAGTTTACGGGGTCAAAGTGCTCTGCGTCGCTTCGTTGCGGAGATTCGGTTCCTGGCTTGCCTCAGTCATCCCAAAGTCGTGGCGTTCTACGGGGCAGCCTGGGCCTCCCCTTTGAAAGCGGAGAATGGGACCTTAGAAGCTGGCAATACGGGAAATGCTGGCACGGGTAATGCCTCGGACCTTCAGATGGTGCTCGAGTATATGAGCGGAGGGGACTTGCGGCAGTACTTGGTGGGGACTCGACATGACGCTCGAGCCCGGGCGTGGCGAGCTCCGAAATTGGCCATGGCTCTGGATATTGCGGAAGCCCTGACGTACTTGCACTCGCGGCAGCCGAAACCGATTTTGCATCGGGACCTCAAGTCGAGGAACATCTTGCTGGACTCGGCCTACACGGCCAAAGTGGCGGACTTTGGCGTGAGTCGGTATGGGCTGCATCACTTGCTTGAGGGGGAGAGAGGAGGAGGAGGAGAACGAGAAGAAGAAGGGCAGGATGACGAGGACGACTCGACGGAACAACTTGCAATGACAAGGTCGATAGGAACGAATCGGTGGATTGCACCGGAAGTGCTGTCCGGCGATGCGCGGTACTCGACAGCAGTGGATATCTACTCGTTTGGAGTCATTCTGTCGGAACTCGACAGCCATGAACTACCGTTCTCGGAAGTGACGCTGTCGAATGGTCAGTCCTTGCCGGAAAGTGCTGTGCTGGAGCTATTGAGGACAGGAGCGATTCGCCCGTCGCTGTCGGACCGATGTCCTCGAGAAGTTGCGACGCTCGTGATGGAGTGTTTAACGCTCGAGCCAAGTCGACGCCCGACAGCAGCCCAAGTGGCGGAGCGACTTCGGAGTTTATTGGAGCGCGAGCGTCGCGTGAGTGACATTGGGGACGATGTGAGTACAAGTGACCAGAACTCCTTCCTAGGCGCTCGAGAAGACCTGGGAAGTATGTTCAGTAGCAGCGTGGGGAGCTCGAGTTTGTCCATGGAGCGTGGATTCAACTACGCAGTATTGGGGGAGCGCTAGCTCGTACCATTCAGGAGGTAAATTATAAACGCTGGTGTCAAGGTGGACGCCAGCGTAGCTAAACTGACCCGAAGGAAGGCCTGATGAAGAACAACAGCAGGGATGAGGACTTTGTTGATGTATGAATCACACATATACCTCACCCATGTGTGCTCGTAGTAACAGAGCAACGTCTACTGGACGTGTCTCGACCAAGTGGCAAGTCCATTAGACTAATAGCTACATGAATACATCACAACAGCTTTCAAAAGGTATCGTCGGTCAAGACACTGTAGTTTACAAACTGTAGACAACGACGCGTCGCAGTGTATTCCGTGCCCAATTTCAGTATAGCTCAGCCAGCAAGGGCAGCCGCCAATTCTAGTCATAGCACTAGATGAGGTAGGTGCCCTCGCCAGTACTTGTGCCGTCGTAGAAATACATACAAAGTCCTAACAGCCCGAAAAGAGATGCAGAATCCTGACATGTCATTGAAACCAATGTAAAGTCCCAATCGGCTCTTGACAGCTGAAAGACAAGCTACGACTGCTGACTTGTTGAAGTTTGTTACGTGCCAACTCATTGAGTTAACATCAGGTGTCATGAGCACATGATTATAAAGCAGGTTGCTACCTTTTCTCCACGCAAAGGCTCTGATGAACACCCACAGTGCTGGATAACGGGTACATCGGATACGCATGTCCGGAAGTTCTAGTAACAAACTGGCATCAATCGTGACCGCAACGTATGTCGTAAGTTCTCACGAACTGCAAGAAACCCCGGAGCAAAGCGATAAGAAAGCTGCTCTTGCCGTAATTCATGGGAGTAGCGACAGTTCAGATCGTCGCTGGCACTGCCATCTTCCACATCACGGAACTCGGACTCATCCCAATCATCACGGGTCAGGAAACAGCGCTATTTTTCTCGTGTTCCGCTTACTCATGCCGCCCATTGCGCTCGATTTTTTCTTTCATGAAGATCCCGATCAGCCGGTAATTCACGACGGAGAATTCAAATACAAAGCAGATGAGTCTGAGCCGACAACAGGCAGGACAAAGTCAATGCAACAAGCTGCTTTCAAAGATCCACCACATGGTGTCGATTACGAAAAACTCTCGCGAACTAAACAACCGAGGACATCATTCAGTTGCTCATGTTTCTTATCGTCCTGTCCAAATGCACCATCACATATCCTTGTGCTTGGTGAGTTACAATTATGTGGCCACGTTATTGACCATCATGTCATTCTCCTTAGTACCACAAACTCGTCTTTCAATCTTTTCTGAAGCAGGAACTTCAATGACTTCACTCCTACGACACCATTCACCACAGATTAACGTGGTACGTCTCAGCTTCACCGGTAGGCGCATCTTCCGTCACGGCTGTCTTCAACTTGTCAATTATCGTTCCCATCACAGCGTTATTATTATTATTGGTGGCAGTGAATGCAGCGCCCGCGAACACCACTTCGTGTGCAGCATCTACATGGCCGACCAGCAGACATGACGTCATAAAAAACTCAACGAACAGTCCACGCCAAACATCAGCAAGTTTGCCGTCTCGCGCTTTAATTTACCGTTCGTTCTGACAGTTAGACCGAGCATATTGTTTGCTCACCCGTCCATGGAGTCTAGCAGCCATCACCACCCACAATTTTCAAGCAAGACGTTGAAGGTGCAATAGCCAAAGCATTAAAGATCGTGCTGACAATGAAAGCCAATGCGAGACATGCGAGGACCCACCACGTTGTGCATCGATTGTCTTTATCGCCGTAGCGATGTAGACGCTGGATATGTCGTTTTTGCTTGGGTAGAAAAACCAAAGCCACGAGACCGAGGGCTCGAATAATGTGCGACAATACCAGTGCAAACGCCACTTGCATTCTATCAGGGTCGGACCTCCCACTGACAGAGTGCTCGACATCCTCAAACATGAACCCAATCAAATTCGAGACAGTGTTCGCCATGAGCCGCATACTTGAAGCCATGGACACGACAATCCCGACAAAAGCACCTTCGCCACCCACTGGAGCGATTTCTGCAGTGAGGGCAAGTTCCAAGATCACAATTGCACTGCGAAGGAAAGCTGTAAGCGATGACACGACGGCGTAGATATCTACGTTACGTGATGCTGGGTGAAGAGTTGCCATGAGGTAGTAGACAAGTTGAGGTGTCATCGTGACGATGACAAAGCTCGAGAACACGGACCAGCGCCAATCGTTGTTTAAGAAAAAATACTTCCACAGGATCACGGGAAGTATCGAGAACACTTCCGACATGCTACTGCTCATTGACGCAGCTTTTGCATTCATGCCACACCATCGTTCGAGCCGATTAATCGGATATGTTAGCGAGAACTCCGACATCAAGATGAGACCGATCAAAAACCGGATAACGCGTGAAGTGGACTCTTTGCCCAACGCACTTCGCAGCCGATTCCAGTGGCCACGAAACGCGAGCGCCAAGCGCTGAAGAAAGTTAGAAGCCGTGATGTAAGCTCGCTGAAGCTCCGATGCTGACGTTGCCAAGTTGCCAATAGTTGCGCGATTGAATCGATCTCGAGCTGCATTGATAGCTGGTGGGTCTGCCTTCTCGACAAAGCACGTGCATAGCCCGATCAGTGGAACGATCGTATAAAACACGAAGAACAGCATCGTTTGACGCAGCGTGACTTTGGGAACAGCCCCTAGATCCGAGACCTGGAAAATCGCGTAATCAGCAATCACTTGGCCGAAAAATTGACCTGCATACTGTGTCATAAGCAGCGTACCAAGAGCTTGTCCACGAACTGTCAAGCGTTCCCGCCGAGTCTGTGCAATCACATAAGTCTCTCCAATAACTATCGCCACGATACAGCCAAAGTTGGCCAGAATGAGTAAGAAAACATAGGCATCCATCAGCGTAGCAGCATGTCGTAACACATCAGCTGAAGTCACGTCATTGTTGTTCGCTCGGTACGAGACAAATTCGTCCAGTAAAGCCATGAAAAAACACGCGAGCATTGTCATCATCCATGCGAGAATAATGTAAGCCTTACGTCGGGAATCAAAGATCGGCACGGCGTCGGAGATGAAGCCCCAAATGAAACTATAAGACCACGGCAACTGAATTAACACCGAGGCTGCATCTGCTTGATATGATTTCATCCTTAGCTCTTGTTTCAGCAGCGGTAGAACGCCATGCGTTAAGCAATTATGGAGAATGCCCGCAAAGCCGGACGAGACGAGCAATCCAATGTGTCGTTGCGAGAGCAGATTCACTTCAAATTGGCGCGTCAAAGCTGGAAACGGCATCGCACTCTCTCCATCACGTCCTGCTTCCTCCTTCCGTATGTGTGGACTGTCAACAGCCGAGTCCACTCGGTTCATAATCACCACGGAGCTCATCATTGCATTCTCCACTGGACCAAGCATCGGAATCATCGAAGCTTGGCCATTTTCCAGCTGCAGACCTCGATCAAAGTGACTGCGGTTGCAACTCCTGTCAAAGCCACTTCGCGTGAGATTCGACCCGCAGCTACTTTGCTCAAAATGGTGCTCAAAGCCACTCGTTTCAAAGCCACTTCGGTTGAAACTGCGGTCAAAGCCACTGCGATTGAAATTTCGATCCAAGCCGGTTTGATTCAGCATCGGTACAACCTGCTCAACTGCACTTCGAGTCACACTTGACTCAAAAGCACTTCGATTGAGACTGCGTTCGAACGCATTTCGGTTCAAAGTGGGTAACCCGTTCCGACTTTGGGAGAAATCCAGTCTCCGTGCATTCTCCTCGTCCGTCAAGGACGCATTCTCTCTGTCTTCTACGTATTTTGTGAAACCAAGTTTCCGAGTCATGGCTGTAGCAGCAACGAGAACCAGAGAGCAACCACTCGAACAGTATGAAGTGAAGCAGTGGAGTAGTCGACGGTATGAGTAAGTATTCCGGTCGTTGTTTTGCGTACTGCTGTCGGATAGGGACCCCCTTGTTGGCTGTCACGTGGGTTTACCAAGAACAAAGCAAAAGACGATGCGACAGTCAGTGCCGCTGGCTAGCAGGAAAACGCACGTGATGTGCAGTGGCCCTTTCTGGCTCCCTCCGTTCCTTCAGGATGATGATGGTCGACATCGGAATGGAGACGAATAGAGAGAGGAGCGCGCGACTCTCGCACGCTCTTTCAACATGACGAAAGCACCGACACCCCCGCCACAAGCTCTTGAGCATCTCGTCATATGCTCAGATCCGACCATCGGGTCACACTTATGTCTTGGATTTCGACTTGTACGTGCGACGGGAACACACGCGTATCGGAAAACCAAGTGGTTGTGGGGTTTCGAGATAGATGGTGAGCACGGTCATGTGTTTGAGTGTTTGGTGCTGAACAAACCCTTCCTCATGCATGAACAAGGGCGAGACGTTTACTTCCTCGAGGGATAAAGGGGACGTCCGTTTGGAACGAATGGGAACATGAAGAGCCAAGAGGAGGTCAGTGAAGATGACCAGGGAGAACCTCTGACAATTGAACCCCAAGCAATCACTGGAATCCAGGGCTGCGGGTTTACTCTCCACTGCTGGTCTCTGTTTGAACAAGAGTGTACATTGGCTGCAGTGATGTCAACCTGAGATGAGCTCCAGCACTGTCTTGACTCTATGCAGCCATTAGGCCGCACGAAACGGTATGGCGTGGATGGCATAGACCTCATGTTTAGTCCAACAGTGTGAGCAATATCGACCCGATGTTTCCGTTTGTTACAGTGATCGACGCAGGAGATCAAGACAAAGACGACGATGCTATTCATGTCACCGAACGACATTGCGTCTTGCTGCAATTGCTTCATAAAGACGACGCATGAACGGACACGTGTTGGTCGTGGTGTCGAAAGGTCCAGTTTCACAAGAGTCGTGCGAGTGGCCATTCATTTTGTTGTAAAAACGAATACCTTGCAAAATGGATGTAAAATTGAACAGTGATAGAAGAAAAGCACTGTGAGATCTAACCTCTATATTGTTATTACGTACGAGATAAGGACGCGACCAACCCAGCTGGTATGTTGCAAGAGCCAAGCACAGCTAAGTACTGCTGTGTAGTTGTAAACCGTCTGTCACGTGTGGAATGTCACTTGTCGTTCCACGTGCAATGTTTGTCTATTGAAGCAGAAAGTTTACAAAGCTATGCTGGTAATCATTGGTACTGTACGACTGGCAGACGTACATGCAGCACTAACCCACAGGAGGGATGTGACTACAGGTTATGTTGCAGTCCGAGCTGTGGAAACAGCTAGATAGATACTTATGTGGTCTAGTCAATAATTACGGAAATGTAGATACCACATACTACTGGAGGGTAGAAGCTTACTGAGGGAATGCATGAATTGGCAGCGAAGGGTCTAAGCCCTTTCAAATGACAATGTAGTATCGCATGCGAACGCTTGCGTCTTCGTTGATGAGGTGCAGGCTCCAGGCAAAGCAGGTGTTTTTGCAATGTGGGACGTATGGCTGTCAAGGAATCCCATGTCGATGATCACGTGATGATATAGAACCTTGCATCATCTTTCCATTGTTAAGGCAAGTGTCGGAAAGAGTCTGACTGGCGACAACGCTAGATCCGCGTAACGGTGACTGATGCGCAGAATTGAAGAGGCTAATTTAGGTGATCTTGCCCAGCATTCTCGATCATGCGTAGACGCTGAAAATTAAGTCGAAGCTGTTTGAGGTTGCATCGCTTACCTGATTGGTTACGTCTTCATTCCCTTTTGTACAGGTAAAGCTTTAAAAAGCGCTAGCAACATGCAGCCCTGCCAAGCTGTGCTTGCACTTCTTCCACTGCTTGTAACAACCATTAACGCACTTGTGGCTAGTCATTCAGGTGCAGATAATTTACATCTCACCGCCTCTCCCGACTGCTAAGAAGTGTATTGTCCATCGCTTAGATGACATGTGCTAACTAACGACTCATTCCGTTTTTGCTGGCATTATCGTATCGTGATACCACCATCGTTACCATGATCAATGCATGACCTTTTCGCCCTAATGCTTCATCGTTAGCACCTTTCCAATCCCTTACACGCTAATAATGTTTTACTGTCTTCTTGTCTTTCGGCTTTTGAAACATGCCGTTCGCCTCATACTTTGTGGTAGACTGGACCTTGACATCCAGTACAACTGTAAGAATCAAATACGTCGCTCTAGACTATAGGGCGTGATCTCTATCGGTTGTTTCCTTCATGAGAATCCTTTTTCGTGTGACTCCCGTCCAACCTTTTTGTATAGCGTTGCACGATCTTTTGTAACTCCTTGACTTGCCTACTAGACTTTGCACATACGTACGTTTACGTGTCTCATTTCTTGGCGTAGGGCACTTGGCGAAGGGCACCACCGTTTGTTGCGGTGTTGTCCATTAATTCCTCCGTTTTTGTAGATCCAACGCAGCATCTGCTTTGTGCAAACGATGTAGAGCACTGGCATCTTAAAAACGCCGTTGGAATTTGCCAGCGTATAAGCGAGATCGGTATGGTCGTAAATGCTACAAGTCGTAAGCTCTAATATAGATTGGTCACAGAACGAAAAAAAACACGGGGCAAACCCCAAAGCAACCAAGATTCACATGATTTTGTGTATGCAGGCAAGCAGTTTCGAACGTTCGTTTAGTGTTGATTGCTGAATGTCGAACAGATGAGATCTCACGTGCATCAGAAAGGCAAATTTTTTGTCGCTGTACTCGCTTTTGCCATCTGCTGCATGCACACGCGCGTGAATTTTCTGCTGATTTCCTCTGAAACCCTGTGATCAGCGTCAACAATATCTTTAAAATTATATTTTGCTGGTTGTATGTGTCATGAATAGCCTAATAATGATTGTAGGAAGCTTTCTTTTGCACAGGTTAGTGCGAAAGCAGTACAACTTCCACAAAGGAATGGTCACATAGACATAGTCACTTTGCTTACGCTCTAATTTTATTCGAAAAGGTGCAATATCACCAGACACCGATGCGTATATTGCTCTATCATCAATGGCTATTTATATTTGCTTACTCTGTCGCTTCCTTTAACTTCGTCTTGATTTCGAAACGAAGTACAATTAAGTGCTTGTATATAAGTAAATTTTGCTGCAAGGATACGTCACTACACCTCCGCTCTTATTTACCAGAATAGACGTACAGTATCACTGCAGGCCCCCTTTCGCATGACTACCCCATGTATATCACGTGTGTTTAATATAATTATTAATGAATGCCGAGCATAAAATAAAAGCTGTAAGTCTACTGAGTTGTCGTTGTTGATAATATGCACCTACATGCTGCCTGCTAAAACCATAAAGACTGCATCGGTAAAGGTTTTCAAATCTTCCCATGTAAACGAACAACACTGACCATCATTAATTAACGAGTGTATATTGAGGCGAATTTATGATGAAAGTGACTAGCTTAATGAGCTTGGCATCTATTGCTCCAGACTAGACCTTCACAATGGCAACCCGAGACCATAAAACAGTTGGCCATGTTTCTTATTTGATAATCATATCAGTTTTCTTTCAATCTTGATACGGCAGAAGTTTGAATAATTGCAAACATTCGTGTCGTAGTACATTAAAAATTTGTGTCGACGTACTTCACGCTGTTGCGGTCATCGATATGACATGATATCAAACAACCAGCAAACTCGAGTATTGTGTATGATGTGTGGAAGCATCAGGCATAATTTCAAAAAAATATCTCTGGACTGGACCCTTTCTTACATTATAACGACGATGTAGAGGAATACTAGCTTATTAATTATAACCGCTGTCAACTTTTTTGCATACAATTGCATGAAACAACGTGTAAAAAATTCCGGCTGCGTACAACTTTGTTATTAGATTCAACATTAAATATCGTGGAAGGCGTTCTACAAAGACATGCTCTATAGATTTAACTACATTAAACTTCACATGCTCTACTATCTATTTTTATCCATTTTGTAAACTCATATCGATACAAAACATAGTATAACAGATGACTGTGTTCCAACGACGAATTAACGTACAATTTGGCATTGCTTCATATGCGGGTTCGTGCGCCTTTTCTCTGCTCATAATTAGGTAGCGCACTAATATGGTTACGTTTGTTTAAACACCTTGCTCAACACATGACTGAATGCAATTTTCGCATAAGTCCGTTAGATTTATTGGTTTGGAGCCTTTTTAATCAAAGCGTTTCTGCGTAACAAATAGCCGGATTCATTTTGGTCGCTTCACTGCGAACGCTAAAAGCCGGATGATAGCTTCCGGTATTAGTCGACTTACTATCCTTGTCCAAAGGATGTAGCCTCAAGCAGGCGTTGCACTTCCTATTCAAGTCCGACAATCGAGTAGGGTAGCAGATAGTTGAGATAATCTTACGTTGCGATCACTTCTGAGTGTCAATTCATACACACGCAAAAAAATTAAACTACACCAATTTTTGCGTCTGTAGTCGTCATTCATTTGCTTATTTTTTCACGGCAATATGCATGCCAACACACAAGTAAAATATCCAAACCCTGCTAAGCTCTACTTCGCTGTTCATTCTTTGCAAAGGCATTGCAGAATTTTTTGTGGGGAATTTCGATGATTGACTACTCCAATCTCTGTTCTGAAAAAATCTTTGGTCTTTACTTTCACGAAACGCCCAACAAGAACCGGCTGCGGAAACACAGCAAGTTTGTGATCGACAAAGATGCCCTTCAGACTGTTGAACGACTACAGCAGCATTTATTTCCTTCGTAGATTTCAGTATCCAGCATATACGCTTCAACTGAGCAAAATATGCACGATGATTTGATGATGGATTACCGTACCATTTGCTTGCCATTGCAGCTTGAACTGCTAGGTGATCAGTTTTCAGCTTAGCGTGTGTGCGTCTTCAAAATTGTTTACTCTTGAATTATGCTGCTGTCAGTCTAGATTTGTAGTAATAAGGTGTTTGATGCTACGTTGATTACCGTGTTGGCTCAACAGCAACGGGCAGCATGTTTTGATGAAGACCGGTTTGAATGATATACTGTTGCGCAAATTATTCCACCTAGCACGCAGAAGGTAAGTCCCCCTCCTTTTTTGCGCGTATTCTATTCTTTGCGACTAGTGTACCATTTGAATCCTACAACGTCGGGCGATTACTGTGATGTTTTGCGCACGTTCGTTGTACGGATAGTACATAACGTGGCGCCTTTGCTCGGTCACTCGAACGCATGCGAATGGACGAATGATACAGCTTTATAAATGGGTGAGGATCGATACAATAAGTACACCGGACCCTTCTTGAATGCTTTTGCTGCTCTGGTTCAACATTGAAGTTGACGTTTGATGGCAAATTCGTTCTGCCTAATCAATGAACGCGTGATGTAACCTTGTTCACTGATAAAACTCATCCATACTATTTAACATCAGGACACCGCTATCCGTTGCTTTCATTGTAGTGCATTGATGTTCTTATTACGTTAACTAGCACCTTTCTAGTGACTCTTTGTAGTAGATTTTATTGGAGGGAACCCTCCATCGTACCAGCCATCGCGAAATGAAGAGGTTTGCAACCTCTTCATCGAGCTGACAACCTCTTCTCCTCTTCTTCACTACCTGATTCTACGCTTCCTCGCGTTACATCGATGTTAATCTGCCCACACGGTTCCAATTCTCCATGCATATCAGCAAAATCATCATTTCTTCTCCATCTCTATTCTCCGTTGCATACACACTCTTTACGGGCGCCAATGAACCTTCGCAACTATGAAACAGCTGCTCTGTATTTCCATCTTCCATGCTCTGTCCCTCAGCATCAATGAGTCTTTGCTGTAGCGATTTCCATCCAGCTAACGAAAGCTGCACTCTTGCACGTTCTGGCCTCAGTCGACGTTCTCGACGTGCAACTGCATGAAGGTAAGCCCAAGCAGAAAAAACTTAGTACTTGTCAGTCAACTGTCAAGAAAAACCAGGCCAAAACGCTTTTATCCATTTACGTGTCCATCTCATTTATACCTCGCTGCACAATGCTCCGACACTTTGAGAGACGACGACCACCCCAAGTTGCAAACACCAGCAACAAAGCCACGTTAAGACCGGCAATGACCGAGATTGTCACGCGTATTGGCATGGACAGTCCCGTACTTTCTTCTCCTCCTGAGAATGGGATTTCACCGTCGTCGTGCGTACCTGAGCACTGGTTAGTGACCACGACGTCGTGCCGATTGGGTACTTCACAATTGGCAATGCACACGCAGCCATTGCGTCCCGTACTTTCTTCTCCTCCTGAGAATGGGATTTCACCGTCGTCGTGCGTACCTGAGCACTGGTTAGTGACCACGACGTCGTGCCGATTGGGTACTTCACAATTGGCAATGCACACGCAGCCATTGCGTCCCGTACAGTATGATGGGAGAAGAGTACTCAATCATTGGGATCGTTTGGACCCTCTTGTCGCTTCATTTGCGTGCGACACGTTGCACAGACGGAATCATTTGCGTGAAAGTAGCGATAGTAACATGATGAAAAGTAGCGATGTAAAGGCACGTAGTAGAAACGTTCGGCAAGATACGAGTCGTACGTGCTTTGGCTGACACAGCCACCGGACGGATTGACCGTGTAATTGTCATTTGGTAACTGTACGTTCAGACAATCATAACACGTGCGTGGCTCAAGGCACTCGTTGTTGTGGTACCAGGTGCACGAATCACAATTGATCGTGGCGTTTCGATGGACGCTGCTGATGTTGTTGCTATTAAATCTAGTGTCGTCACTGGGAATAGTGTCGTCATTGAGAATAGTGTCGTTATTTTTGTTGTTATCGTTGTTGTTGTTATCGTTGTTGTTGTTGTTGTTGTTGTTGTTGTTGTTGTTGTTATTTTTGTTGTTATCTTTATTGTTGTTGTCGTTGGTAAGGGCAGTAGGGAATGGAGTCGAGGCCATGGATACGTTTATGTGTTGAGGTACGGATCAATTTCGGAAGTGAGCTCTTGAGACCCAATTATCAGAATTATCAACAGATGGTAGAGGACGAGTGCTTGACACGCTCGTGGCTTGCAGAGATACATTCCCGTTGGTTGACTTCGTGTTAAAATGAGAAGTGAATATTTGTTGTTAAAACTGCTCCGTCAATGCATCTCTAGTCATCGTGTTCTCCTACGCTACTCACCTTGAAGGTCGACAGGTGTCGCCAGATTGATGACCAATGCCCTGGCGACACAGTTTTGCAAACGAGCAGACAGTAGTAATCAGAAACTTCGAAAATCTTGTCAAGCTGTCGAGTTAAAGGTTCCGGTTGAATGATCAGTTTGGGTGATACTACTAGTGATCGGAGGGGTGCAATCAGAATACAAATGTCGAGATGCTTGGCGGTAGTCATCGGTGAGGTCCGTCGATTAGAGCCGGGGTGTTTCGAGACTCACAGACAGGCTCAGGTACCTTCGATAGGGCAAGATTGGTGTTTTGCGTCTTTCAAGCTTGTCCGTTAACGAGATATTCATGAAAACGTGTACATATTATCTGACTCCCAGTAATTCAAGTGATGTGGCGAACAAGGAACAGTCACAACCGCGCACATCAGCAGCACCAAAATTGATCAATTCCGAGCTTCTGCTCGATGTGGTCTGTCTTCCTTTCAGTATGCGAAGCTAGACCACTTTTATCGCGAGCCATAGGATGAAGGCATTCGCACTGTGCGCAATAAATGCCGAGCGTTCAGTTTTACTTTCTGCCTGTCTGTAAAAAATGCTAGGTGACCTTACACGTCGTACTAAGTGCGATGTAGCCTGCCTCCTTGTTGTAGGTAGATAAACATCATACGGGTGTCACTCTTTTGTGAGTCACTGATTGCGACCGTTTAGGGAGTATAGTCAGGTGCACCAATGTCCGCACATAATTGGCCTAAGTCGACCAAGAGCAATTGGGGGCCAGATATAAGATAGGGGCGCAAGCTCTGGAGCTCGTCCTTTGATGATAGCAATTTCGTCTGAGGAAATGAACTAGATTCTGTGTATTAAACTTCCATTTCCAGATGTTGGCGACCAGGAAATGGGTCGTGTGTTGTGTATTTAAACGATGAAACAGTCAATGAATTTTTGTGAGCTTAAGGTACTTCTTTATGCTGTTGATGTGTTCAAAAAACAGATGTTGGAAAGATCAAACAAAGGACGACCCTGCTCGACTACGCTGTCGGCCGCAAAATGCGGTCGACGACACATACTTTTCCGAGATAAAGAGAAACTAAAGGGAAGGATCTTCCACTGCTACCGATAAAAACCGTGACCTTGACCTCTTACTATTGCAAGTTTTCCAGATCAAAACCACTCACACTTACTGTCTGCGAAATGCGCGACTACCGCGCTGCCCCTGGTTGTCTGTCTAGAATTTGCTTCTTAGTACTCTGTCCGCCCTTTCCATCACTGTAAGCCAAACATGCGCGAGTGTAAAGATTACACCCTTGCAGTCACAAATCAGTGACCTCATCAAAGCGTGATACCTAAATAGAGGACACAGACTACGTCGCACTTAGAACGACGTGAAAGGTACACCGGGCGTTATTTGCACACCGGCAGACAAGCGCAGATAAGTACGATTTAAAAGGCTCGGCATCCACCTTGCGCACAGTCACGAAAAGCTCTACCCTTCGGGCTCGCATCAAGCGGGATGTACCGATATTCGCAGTGTTCGAGGTACGAGAGAGAAAGGGTGCTCCAATTGCACAATCAAAGGTCAAGCGTATGTGCATGATCTCTGGAATCCCTTAAGCCAGTATGTTTAACCGAGAGGTCTGGGAGCTGGTGGTGGCTTTTTCAGCGGAAGGTGGGGACTCTCTAAAGTTCTCGATTTACCAACTCGACGCATTTCACATAGTCTGGCACCATCAATAGTTATCACTGCGTTCCATGCTCCCTCTTTGCGATTGCTTGGATGTGGCGCAACGAGAAACCCAAAACTATTTGTGATCCCGTGAATGTCGAACGTGACTGTCGTAGACGGATGCATTCCTGCCAACCCAGGTCTTCGTCAGGTAATGTTCCACCTTTGGGTCCATACACACCCGATCGCTGCCACAACGTCTTAAAACCGATCCGCTAGTGTCTCAGTTATGTGCGAAAGGATACCGCACGGTCTCCACGTACTCTCGACATGCTAGTGCCTTTGTGCAACTGTTGTTCTATTCTTTGCTGCATGGTACATGTCGTGTTGCCGCGTCGTGACCCTGTTTCCTGTCCTCTGCTCAACGAATCTGCGCCATTGTATAGGAACAGTCAATGCAATTTAGCGCGGGAATGTACTATTTGGCAAAAGCGTCACTACAAGCCAAAGGTCGGTACTTGCATCCCAGCCGCTATACTTCAGCAACGTGCTAAGTTCATGGCTCGAAAAATAAGCTACGCCCCGCAAACGCTTCGCGACACAACGCAACTTAGCCTTTTTCGTGAGGCGGCGTGCCGAGCCAACTCGTCGCCCATTGCAAATGTCCGGATGCCACGAGCCTCCCCGTGTGAGCCCCTTGTCGATCTCATGCGCGGACGTCGTCTTAATGAAGATTCTATGCACAAAGGACGGCCAGTGGTGATTGCGCGCATGGCTGTAAAACAGGCACATGCTACGCATTTCAGCAGGGAACTACTTACTACTTACGCCTCCAAAGAGAAAAACAGAGAGATATGGAACGGGCGCAGAAGCACGCAAAAACAACCAGCGTTGTGCACATGAAGTTATGGTGCAAACTCCTGTGTGCTCGACTTTGGGAGAAATGTGTGGAGACAGACACGGAACGCGCAGGTGATTGAGTCGTGATTAAAGCACGATATCAAAAGAGATCGCTCGATTCGCAGCGTGATGCCTCAGCAGATGACTATCGTGCAAGCGCTAGGCTTTCAAACTCGTCCTGACGCCGTGCCTGATTCGATTGACTATTCACATCACTCGTTTGACTGACTCACTGCTATAGCCACTAGTTACCAATTGTACATGTCTCCAGCGCGTATTCTTCCGTGCTTGTTGTTATCTCTACACGGACTCCATTGTGGTAAGTCTACGGCTGCAGTGCACCATGTAATAGGGACAGCAATAACAGTGAGAGGCAGTGTACTTGGTCCTGTAAAGACTGGACTTGCATGACTTGGCTCATCAACCTTGAGCAAGGAGTTGCCTCGGTTGTAGCTAGCGCTTGATTGGTATAAACGTAGCTGTCAATATATGTGAGAACTATCAAGCGAGCTATTTGGAGTTCGAGAAGAGTGCTTAGGCAGCTGAACTGGCTGCCATCAAACCAAGGACGTCCATCAGAGCAATCGTACATTTAGCTGTAACTTAAAGTCGGTATTTCTGCTAATTGCTGCATGGTAAAATAGCATAGAGGGACGATGTCACTGCACGAGGGAGTTCTCTCTGCTATTGTAGTTGCACCTGTTGACTCCAATTCGACTATACGCACTGTAGGCTCGTTTCGTAAATTGCCATGATCTCAAGGTCGAGATTATCGGCTCATATCACAATTAGGTATGCCGTTGTGTGATCGTCAAGTAGTTTTAAGCTGACCGACCGATAATGGGCATCTCATCGGTCAGCTTAAAACTGCTTGACAAATGTAAGTGACAACAACGATAGCTACTACATTTACAATTAGATCATAAAAGCCAACCATAACAAGCTCTTTTATTACGAACCAAGAGGCAGCGAAGTGAGAGCAAAGTGAAAAGATGTGTGACGTTGCTGCCACCACGTAATATTACTTCCTAGAAGGAGAGCACAGATATAATGGACATGGTGGCGTGATACGAAATTGACATGACATCGACCGAGATGACAACCACGTTTGAAATGCATGAACAATATGAATTTTATTGACGTGTTATCGCACTCTGCTACAGCCGTAACGTGGTCGTGATGCCTCCACCTGTAGAGCATGCAATGGGTTGTCGGATATACCCAGCCGTTACTTTCGTAACGAGAAGAAAAACAGTCAAAGCAACAGCGCACACCATGAGTCACTCCATCAATTACAACGCTAACGTCGCAGGTCAAGCAGAATAAAACTGACCCACCGTCGTCACCTTCTTCCCTCGCAGTAGCGTCGCGCCCAGATGCACTCTTCTTTAACCTTCAACTGCCAGCAGTCTTTGCGCACAAACGTTTAAGCTCACCTTGCGCCGCAAGACCACACCTTCTTCCTAGCCTGACCGTGTACGCCATCCGGCCGCTTGTTGAATCCGCAGCTCCTTGCCCAGCGAAATCAAACGGTCAAGCGACATACAAGCGTCCTAACACGAAGTCAACCGCCTTAATCGCACGGGCGACTTCATCCTTGGACACCGTTGGGTCAATGGCGCGTAGCATTTGCTCTACCTCGACAGCAGTGTAGCTTTTGTCCTTCCAGTGTCTATACAGACGCGCTAGAAGATGATCTTTTTTACGGCCAGTCGATGGATACAAAAGTTTTAACAGTGTATTGTCCCGATAGTAATCCTCCAGCTCCATCATAAGCGACTCTTTCGCTCTTTTCGTCTCCGCAACGATCTTTGCCTCTAGGTCCGCTTGAGAGTCACCAGGCTTGGGATGGGATAGCCGCTTCTCCAAAGCCTTGATCTTGTCCTGTGCCTCGGCCTTGCGCGTCTCGACCCACCTGTCGAGCTCAACCAGCAAGCTGAGTTCTTTAACGTCCTTTAGAGGCTTAACAAGCTCAATAATGTCGTGCAAAGACTTGCCTTTCCATCTCTCCATCAGGTGTTTGAGATACATTCTACCGGCCGCATTTTCCTCCGAATTGCTCGCCCGCAAGTAAACCTTCGCTAGCCTTACCACTTTAGGATCTGCGAATGTATTCAGATCTTTGGAAAACTGGGTACGAAATCGGCGCATTTTGAAATCTCTAAACTTCTCGTACGATCGAGCGAGACCATTAAAGGTCGCGCCCACCGCTTTGCTCGCCCCGCCAAGGAAAAGTTGACTCACTCGATCAGCAAGACCGTTAGCCGCCTTGAATAGACCAACCAGGGCTCGACCCATTGAATCGGATATGACTGAAGGTCTTAACCTTCTCTCGACAGGAGCGACGATGGGGGTGGAAGAGGCAGTCAAGGCGGGCATGGGGGCGGCAGATGCAGCGGACACGAGGAATGGTCCCTGGGCGTAGGCGAGGAAGGCGGGAATGGCGACGATGTCGAGGATGATCAGTTTCATGGCTGGCAAGAGGGAGAAAGAGAAGCAGGAGATGACGAGGGGGAGGAGTGGGCTGCTAAGGGCGAGGCAATTAGCGATATGGCAATTCTGTTAAGGGCTCCGTCCGGCGCAGAAGACTTCGAACCCAGTCACATTGTTGCCTGGATCCACTCACACTTCCGGCTTGTTTTTGTTTTGCCCATCCGAAACTGTGCCGGCTGTCCATTAGTCCTAATTATTGTATGGTCATCACTTGGTCAGCGAACGGCCACTTTCGCGAGCCCTAGCAATGATGGCCGAGTTTGGAATCGGCATCAACACATTCGACCCGCCGTCGTCCATCTATCCATCGACGTGGACAAAGCGCCTAACGTTGACTGTGTTGGTGATTTTATATGGTAAGGAGTAGATATTGGTGGTTGATGGACTTCAGTCGAATTTAAATCGATTTCTGATCTAAAAAATAAATCAGCACAGAGGTACGACACAATGATTGGCTCTAGTGCGCACAATGATGACTTCCTCAATGACGCAAACACTTCTGTGATTAGGAATTAGGAAGGACCAAAGTGGAAATGGGTAATGAAGAATTGAAATGTGTAAGCAGACGATTGAATACAGAGGCTGACCGATTGAGAGGATGAAGGTAAACAAAGATCGTTGGATCTTAATGTTCAGTGTATTGACACATCATGAACAACGAAAGTTCAATAGGACTGAGAGAAGACGGTCGTGGTGACGCCTGAACGGGGATCGTATGTCAACAAACCAGTCTCCTATTATTGCAATAACTTGTGTTGGAGGATGGTCGTATTATCTACCTAGACTAGATATGCGCCTACTCAGTGACCAAGAGTGTACCAGATGATGATCTTAGAGGTTATTCTTGTAAGATAATATCAGGAAATATAGTGGTTGAAGACCAACTGACGGCAAAAAGTTGACTAGATTGCATTTTGACCAAATTTTTGCATGACCTAAGAGTGGGTTTTAGATCCTGTATTTGGAAAAATGGTTTAAGTTTATTGTAAAAAAACCGGACTGAGTATTTGAACGCAATATTTGAATAAACTGCCCGATATTTGTCACACTCACAACCTATGGATACTGACGCCAATACTGGAGAATGTAATCCAGGTATTTGACACGTGTTCCCAGGACGCGGTATTGGATGTTAAGATTTATCATGTGCTCACTTTTGGCAGCAGGTTGAGAAGTATTCGTAATATTTAAACAGAATTTTACGCGCACTATAGAACCTTGATTTAACAAGACACAGAGTTTAATTTGATGTGTTTTAGCAACGACGTCTGACCCTCTCTTCTGGGTGAGATTTATTTGGCTTCTCACCGAATCAATGAAGTGGGAAGCCGAAGCAATTTTTTTCGAAACAGGGGTTACATGTCGTTGCTAAGCACGCGCGCTCAGCTTTTAAGACAATGTCAGCTTTTGGAGTGTTTGACCAGGGTTCTTAAGAACACGTAGGAAACAAACAACTGCGGTTATAGGCGGGTGTAAGTGTTGGACAACCGGCATCAATGACGTCGATTTATTGGAAAGAGGAGATCGAAAGACCAACCTGAAGGTTCGAGCAAGGATCAGAAGCGTCAAGCGCGTGCGAGCCGATCGTTTCAAATAGACGAATCTGATCGCAGGGCCTATCTCCAGGATTAGGTATTGCGAACGATTTTTTCGGTCAAAAAATCATTTTGATGGGATGCACGACAAGGTTAACGGGTTGAAGTATCTGCGGCAACCGAACGGTCGATCTAGAAATTGAGATCACACCTATACCATATCGCTGTGTGAAGATTATCGCACAGCGGTCATTTAACCATTTAAATACCGAGCGTGATTGACATCTCCCCAGGACGCTATGGAAAGCTCAATCCATTCCAATTGACGGATGTACAAGGTGGTCGAAAATCCAAGCAATGTGATTAAGGCACGATAAAAAATGGCGGTGTCGGCCTTGTCTACGTAGTGGGGGGAAGGGGCTGATTTATTAGCAAAAAAACGCAGGAAACTACAACCGGTTTCGTTTTGATGGATGGCTTTGAAGTGCAGGTCCTCAATTGGGGACCGTACATCATGCAGACGACACTCAGATCGTCCCAACAGGTCCACTATAGTATAATCAAGATCCACCTAGCTGACCCTGAGATCGATGGTTCGTGACTGTGATAAATAAGACGGCGATCTCAATGGTTAAAAAAAGAATAGTGAGATCGGGGATCCTACTTGTCCCGATTTAATCTGGAATTGTACCGAATTAAATCGTAACGTCAAATATGGGACGGGTAGGTAGATTTTAAAACAACGTGCTAGACGATTATGCCGACATCGTGGAAAGGAATTGGTAATCCGTATCCTAACTCCCGAAAATGTTTTAAAAATACATCGAGATCAGTGTTGCGGTTGATTAGAAATACGAGTGAACTTGGTGAAATCTTAACATCGGTTATCGAATTACTTGGAGGAGGGTATGGCATCAATAAAAGGTTCAGTCCCGAAAAATATATTGAGATGTCCGATTTGATACCACAAAGTTTATTGAGACACATTTGTCGCGATGTTTAAACTGATTACAATATTTTGATAGATCTTAATAATCTGGATTTAATTGCACCCTTAGATCTAGTAATAATATGAAAATTGCAACATTTCGGGTGACCCCCAGTTTTGCGATAATCAGCATAAAAATTGCAGAGATTTCGACACTTTATTAACAAGGTAGTATCGTAAAGTGTAATTCGTTGAAGGTTATCCTGCAGTGAATAGGCAAGGTAACATTATGGGTACTTATTTGGCTGCTCAACAAAAAGAGTTGCAGCTACTTTAACAATCACATTTCGACTTCTCTATAAAGCAGGAGTTCCCCCATAAGGTTTAAGAGATTTTTGCTGCGCGGTCCTTCAGATCACCCTGGGGTGAACTGCGAGCACTTTGACTCAGTTTGAACTCCTTACAGGACCCGCACCCCTTATAACACTATGGGGCTTTTCGTCTTGTAGAGCCTCCGGACGGCACCGGCCACTCATTAGTTGTTGCTCGTCTACATTATTAGCCTATCTCCGGCGCCCTGTAATCGAACCCTTACCGGGTATCGATCCAGGTACCTCCCGGTCCCAGTTTCAGTGGTTTACCAGTCGGCCACTGGTCTCGGTCCCACAAGGTTTAAGAGGCCACAGCTTTACTTGCTATCTACAAAACGTTTGAATAATTATTAAATTCTCGACATTCTGCAACTTTGATTTAGTACAGCTACAACATAAAGAAAAAATACAAACAGAACGAATTTTCTACCAGTCAGAATATTTTAAAAGGTGCCACCATACTGGACCAAGTAAGATCAGTACGATTCAAACAAGAGGATTGTCAGATAAACCCAGGGTAATTGCAATCTTTAGGATTGTATCAGGGTATCACATTACTTGACATTGACACCAAACGGTGTCACTAGAGATATTGTTTAGCAAGACATTTACCTACCAATCCTAAGATGGATGATATTGAACTAATATCATTTTCTTAAGATGATATTCCTGCGCTGCTCAAAGATTGGGTGATAAAAGACATTTCAACCATAGATTGCCACCAATCGATGCTAGACGCGCGCAATGAGTGGTGAGCAGGTAGTCGTCGTACGACGGTGTAGCTTAGTTGAGTTAGATAAAGATTAAAGTTATATTGATAGCTTAACTATATGAAGTACAGCTTTCTTTTACCCTTTGCTCAAACTAGCTGCTGAGTAGAATAGCTTCCTCTGCACGTACTAGTGTACGTGAAGATTCGTGGCTACCAATAAAAGGGTGCCCCGTTACACCTGGTAGCACTTTGTAGTCCGTCCAACGGCTACTTAGTGTCCGTCCAACATGAACATGTTGGACGTAGAAGACGATAGCTTTCACGTCACAAGTAAAAGACCAACTCCCACCTGATTGACTCAGAATGGAAGGTAGTCCGTCGCATGAGTGTGCTCATGGGAAAACCCGCCATCAGTGGTATGTTGGAGTCTCTATGTAGAGACCATCAACACGCTGCTATCAACAAGTTTCTACAAGGGGAACTTGCCGTCGAATGACAAAAGATAGCCTTGCTACATCAGCAAGGCTCTCATCAGTCGATCAGCGCGCTAACGCACATGCGTCAACCCGAAACCTTGAAGATTGATATCTCAAGGTACAAGGGAACCGATGAAGATTCTCTTTTGAGATGGTTCCTCGAGATAGACGATGTCATCAGGGCCCGTTACATCGAGGGTGACGAGATGCAAGTCACCTTAGCCCTGTAAAATTTGACAGGACGAGCAAACTCTTGGGCCTTATGGCTCAAGCTTCACGACCCAACCGTGTTTGAATCGTTTGAGATCTTGAAGTCTTGGCTCAAAGAGACGTTTGAGCCGCCGAGAGCCGAGCTCAGAGCACGCTCTGCACTCTTGAGGCTAAAGCAAGGTAAGCGTGATGTGTACGATTATGCACAGCTCCTACGCTTCCTTGCAAGTAGCGTCACGGAAAACCCTGTTTATGAGCACACGCTCATCAACGTGTTCATCTACGGTCTTGTATATGGACCGGTAACGACCTACGTGTCCCTAGAGGACTTCCATACGCTGGAAAAAGCGATAGCGTATGCGGAACAAGAAGACTTCATCCTGAGACACTCTCAGGCTAACTCGTCAAACTATCGTCCGACGAGACGACAGGAAACAGGAGATCCCAAACCAATGACCTCTGTAACATCGAGAGCGAGAACTCTTGCCCTCTGAGTCACAAGCAAACGGCAAGATGCCATCGCTGCTAGAAGATTGGACACTTCGGTATTGAGTGTAGTGTCCCAAGCACCGCTTCATGTCCAAAGACAGGACGTGATGACCACCGTTGGCCGAGGAGTGGTCAAGGCCCGGGTCCGACCATGTCGCTAAGCCGCGACAGCAAGTCGAACGCCAAAAAAACGGTCAGGGTAATTAGGCGCAGAGCACCCTGCTGATCCAGCAACGTCAAGAGAATTTTCAGGACTCT